ATGGTCAAGCTAAACATTTCTTTTTTATCTTAATTTCTTTTTTCTTTTTTTGATGGTCAGTGTTGATATATAGAAAGAGGAATGGTCGGTGAAATATGTTATTATATGATATAATAATTACATGTTATAGCTACATACTTTTTTGTTGACAGAATTTTATTGACAGATTTTATTGACAGTAGATATGTGTATACAATTTATTATTTTATAAAAATTATATATAAATTATAAATGTAAAAATATAATATATATATATAATTTGTAATGCATTAAATTATATGCACATCATTATTTGTGTATATGCAATTTAATGCTACATATATAGAGATATTCAATTTAGCAACTGATAATGTAAAATGTGATGAAATGAGATAGACTTAGATAAATTCAATAGATAGATATATAGATCGATAGATAGATAGAACAACAGATAGACAGATAGATAGACGGACAGATAGATAGATAGATAGACAGACAGACAGACAGACAGACAGACAGATAGATAGACAGACAGACAGACAGACAGACAGACAGACAGACGGATAGATGGATAGATGGATAGATGGATAGACGGATAGACAGATAGATAGATAGATAGATAGATATGTATGTCTGTTTCTATGTAAGTTAATAACTGTGGTATCAAATGTTCACACGTTAAATACAGCAATAAAGCAATTTTGAATTGAATTGAATTGAATAGATAGATAGATAGATAGATAGATAGATAGATAGATAGATAGATAGATAAACATTATCAAGTACTAAATTGAATACTGCATTTATGTATTTTATATTCCATTTGTGTGTGTATATAATTAATAAATCATTTAATTTGAATTAAAATTTAGGATGTGTATATACTTAAATTGTAAATAAAAATGATGATCATAAATTCTACATTATTAGTTGCTAAATTGAATATCATATTTTTATTGTTTTTAATTGATTAGTTGATTATGTTTTCATCATAAAATTGCTGATTTTTTTTGTGTTTATAATTAATCACTTAATTTTTTTTTGTATTTTTGTATTTATTTCTTTTTTTTACTACGTTTGCAGCTATGTCATATCCGGAGGTTGCATACAGCAGAAAGGCAGTTTCATTGTTGACAAGCTCTCATTGTGTCTGCTTGCAATTACTGACTGGTGAAATAGTTCATTTGACATTCAAAATAACAGGTTTAAAAAATAGTGTGATTAAAATACTCTCTCTTTCTGTGGATAATGGCTCCTGTCCTAACCAACTCCAACCCTATAGTGTTTAGTGGCGCTGAAGTTTCAGAGTCAGATGTGTTGACTTTGTCTGACCCACTTGCTATAAATAAAAGTCGAACAGCAATTCAGCAATTCGGCAAAAAAGATCCAGTGAACAATAGCGCAAAATTGCTACTCTTTGTCCCTATAGATTAAATGAGTGACAGAGATAACACAGCACTCACAAACAGTGATTATAGAAAGCTCTAGCCTCAAATCGAACCGTTAATGGATGAAGTGTTGTTGTTTTGACACTGAATCGCAATGAATGTGTTGTAAAATCCAATTTCGCATAGGTCAGATGCTTTAGTCATCGTATATGAATACAAATCTCTTTGATGCTTCAATTGTTTCTTCTAGACGGCGATTAGTTTAGAAAATCAAATGGAGGCTTTGCTGAACTTGAGATTGTTCATCTCAGAAAAAGATCCCCGCAATCTCTTGTTTGTCTCCTCTAGAATCTCAGAAGAGATCTCAAACTGCTCTCAGAAATCTGCCATCAAGGTGAAATATGACACATTTCTCATCAAGTTTTCCTTCTTACTATATGTCAATAACACTCTCATTTTTCTCCTAAGGAAATTCAGGAGAAATGTTCTCCTGCAGAGTGTGTCCTGAAATGTTCTCCTAGATTTCTAAATGAAACATATCTGAGAATTCCTAAACAATGACATTTGCAAAATATATATTTTTCAGACATTTTCTGTTGAAGCTATGTTTTAAATCAAAGTGTTATGCATCCAGTAGTCAACTAGCTTCTCGTTTGAATCTCTAATGGTGACTAATAAATTCAGGATTGCTTATATTGAGCAGAAGTGCATGTATGCCGTACAATTAACTTTCACTAGAGGACGAAGTGGCCCAGTGCTCTTCACGTCAGGTGCTTTCCTCTTGTACTCACATTCATTACATGTTTTATTGCTCAGACAACGTCCCTGGACAACACTCTATCACTCGCAGAGGGTAATAGCTTTTTTCGCCGGTGTAATTTCATTGATCAGCCACTTCCTCTTTTTTTCACCTTGAGGAATGGCTGCTGTGGTGAAAAAGCCAACAGAGATCAGAAGATGTATGCATCTAAATTAGTTTGTTATGAAAATAAATTTAGAATAGGGTATAATGCAGTTCCACACTAAAACAATATATATATAAGATGGATGGATGGATGGATGGATGGATAGATAGATTATATGTATATATATATATATATATATATATATATATATATATATATATACACACACACAATATATATATACACACACACACACACACACTGCACTATATCAAGTTCATTGTATCAAGTTTAAGTTCACATAAATTAAAAATGTTAAATATATATATATATTTTTAATGTTCTATAAGAGTTTGGGCCTATTAAATGGTAAAAATTATGGCTTTTAATTTCACTGTAATGTTTACTGCTTATATTAACTAATTTTATCATCAGATTTTGGGAATTAATCCATTTAATACAGGCATCAGAATCAGTATTGTTATCGGCACTTTCATTCATAGTACTAAAAAGATGCTATTAAACAAACATTTTAAATATACGTGAAAATATATTTATGAATACAAATTAATGTTAGGTGTTAAAAATCAAGATAATTTTTTAATTGACAGCACTAATATATATTATATTGTAATAATATTAATATTAATAAAATATTTATCTATTTTATAGTACATATAGTACATATATAGAGAGAGATAAATATAAAAAATATTTTTTTCTTATTTTGATTCTTTTTTATTATTACTGTCATAATAGTTCATATACTAATAGTGTGGAATCTTAAATATTTCTTAATTTTGTCGTTTTTTTTAAGTGTTTCGAAAATTTTTGCTTTTCTGTTTATTTCTGAGTTAAAAAGAAACATCTTTACAATGTGGTCTCACACTTTTGGACCCTTACTGTGTATTGGAGTGTATATAGTGCAGAAAACGGTCCATTTACACAAAGCATAAGCATAACAGTTTGATGTCACTTTAACTGGCTCATAGCGTTTTGGCAGAAAATGAGAGGTTGCTGTGTTTCAGTGGGCTTCAGAATGAGTTCAGGTTTGGGTTGGTGAGCAGGAGGTGTAGCTCCACATATTAGGTGCATTTCTTACCGAGTCGTTTCTCCGACACGCTTAATTTGCATTCCAGTCCATCCTCCCCGTGAAGGACTGTCTGCAAACCTGAAACCTGAGAGAGAGTTATAATAACCGGCAGTTCTGGCAGTGGTCCACTCACCCGCACAGGCCCACAATAGTGCTGTGAAAACTAGATTCCCCCTGAGCTGGAACTCCCACCTCTTTTACATCGACCCCTCATCAGTGATACAGCTGACATCTGCCCTGAATGAATGCAGCACTGGCAGCCTGTTTAACCACGCTTTACCATAACCGCCTCATCACAAATCATGCATATTATCACTTACATGTTTGGCAACATGCCTTTCCACATGGAAATTTATAGCTGAGAGGTTGATTTTCACAGCTCATGAGAATTAAACTCATATTCCACTCACTCCTTCAGAAATGGAAAAAATCTGTCATCAACTGTCTTTTTTTTCTAAAAAGTCTTAAGGGTTATCTGTGTAATTACAAAGTTACATTGTAGTTTTATCATGTTCATTATTATTTGTAGCAAATTAATTGTAGTATAATTTTTTAAAGAAAACTTATTACATGATAATATAGTAAATGAAAATAAACATATTTTTCCAAATTAAAAAAATGCACACAAAATATTTTGTTTCAAATAAAATGTGAATTTTTTGTGTTAAAGGCAGTGAAAATTATTTTAAAAAATGACATTAATCAGTGTTATTTTAGTATTATTTATATACTATAATGGTTTTATTAATATTTTATTAATTGTACTTTTATATTTTAATTTCTTTTTTGTAATGTGCTTTTGTTATTTTTTTTAATATAATATTACTATTTAGGTTTCATTTTTATTTTTTTCAGTTTTTGTTTTATTTTAGCTTTAATTTTGATTTATTTCCACATAGTAAGTGCTTCACCTTAAACTAAACAAAAATGAAAAACATTGCCATGGTGACTAACTAATAAGTTTCAATTTACCATATTATATTTAACATT